TACTGTTAGTATCCAACTTGAGAAAACAGTGCATATTATATATAGTTGGAAGAAAACAGTGAATATTATATATCATCCAAAACATAAAACAATAGGAAAAAACAAATATATATCATCCAAAACTTTAAAAACTTCTAATACTTAAGAGTCTAAGCTCCAATCAACTATCTCAAATTAGATTTTCGTGGTCTTGGTGTAGGGTAATTGCTGGTATCCGGAGCATGTTCTTTTGCTATGCGGGGTCCATCAAATTTGATAGCAACATTTTCAGTTACTTCACTCTCACTAATCGCACCATCATCGTTCTTTGTTTTTTCGTACTGCCATAAGATTGTGGCGTACCTTTGACGATGATACTTTGCATCGATATCAATGAAATTCATATTAAAAACTTCATTGCTGATATATTCAACAAATAAACATGTGTACATACCACAATCACTGAAACAAAAATAAAAGAAAAATAATTTTAAGAAATAAAGTGAATTAATTTTTATGATGAAATCACTAAAAGATAGAAATACAAACTTTGAACTTGACTCTTGTTGAGGCACATTTGTCAGATGCATGACTTCAAGTATTAAGATAGTTTCATACCAATATTATTCTTGTTTCATACCACATTCATATACATATATTAGTTAGATGACACACTTCATACAAATATTAAGACAGTTTCATACCAATATTATTCTTGTTTCATACCACATTCATATACATATATTAGTTAGATGACACACTTCATACAAATATTAAGACAGTTTCATACCAATATTATTCTTGTTTCATACCACATTCATATACATATATTAGTTAGATGACACACTTCATACAAATATTAAGACAGTTTCATACCAATATTATTCCTGTTTCATACCACATTTATATAAAGATATGAGAGATTTTGAATAATAACTTCTCTGCTAAAAGGTGTATCAACTTCATACCAAAATTTAATCAGTTTCATATCAATGTTAAAACATACTACATACCACATTCCTAAATCAATATTAAGACATTTTTCATACCAATATTATTCATGTTTCATTCCACATTCATAGACATAATGAGAGATTTTGAATGATAAATTTCCTGCTAAAAGGTATACAAAGTTCATACCAAAATTAAATAAGTTTCATACAAATGTTAAACATACTGCATACCACATTTATAAACCAATATTAAGTCAAATTCATATCAATCTTAAACATGCATAATTGAAAAATAAATTAGATAAAATATTTACCCTAACCATTTTTTTTCCCTTTTTGATATTGTAATTTCCGAAGCCTCCTTCATTGTTGCTCTTCTTTTGGAGGGTTTTGATGACTGACCCGTTTCTACATTTGTTGATTTTTTTATTTTTTTGATATTTTTCTCGCTTACAAAATTTGAGTCTGAATCAGAAGGGGGTTCCACCCTTTTCCCCTTCCTCTTTTGTCCCTTCTGATTTGAAGGACTTTGAATTTTCTTTGCTTGAGTTTCTTCTCATTTTCTGTAATCTGCTTTTGCTTGAGTTTTCTTCTTCTTTCCTGTAATCTGCTTCTTATTTTGAGAAGTACCAACCTTTTTCGCTGGAGTTGCATTTTTGTTATGCGGTGGCGTTTGAGTCAATATGTTAAACGTCGGAGGCTCTATTCCAACCGTAGAACTCGCTTCTACTAATATGAGACTTTTTCTAGAAGTATGTTATGATTTCTGACATGTTTTAACGAAAATCTTGAAAACTTGAATCTTAATATTGTGAAATCGCCCTTTCTTTCTGATTGTAGACTGAATATTTTCTGATTTAGGAGGTGATATTGAGATGTAGAAACGATTTGAATGGAATATGATTGATGAGGTGAAAGAGGAATGGGTAGTTGTTACAACGGAAAATTTTACTTTTTGAACGTGGGGGTGGTGGGTTACTGACTAGAAGAGGCGTGGTGACATTAGGGGTATGAATTTGACATGTAAAAGTAAAAAAGGAACAAGAATCAAGGAAAATTTCCTATAAATGTGTAAGAGATAATTATGGTAGATTATTTATTTATATCATTTAATAATATATATAAAATTATAAAATACTATTTATTTAATAAAGTAAAATTTTAATTGATTTTTAAATAAAATGTGATCTGTTATAACCCGTAATTAAACGTTATAAGTAAGAATATTTTAAAAGTAGCTTTAAAACCCGTAATATTATCTCTTAAATATATATGTGGGGTGATTTTTCCTTTAAAAGTTTATAGGTTCACATTCGTAATTTATCATTATCGTCAGATTTACTGGATTAAAAATTTATTATTTACATAAGTATATTTTAACACATACAAAGTGTATGTCAAAACGTCACCTGATAAAGTGTATAAAAATAATAATAGTTAGAGTAGATTAGTAATGCTTACATACATTAATAATGCACAGTGACACATCCAAAAAAATTATATTATGAGTGCTCAATTCTTTTAACTCAAAAATTACTATATAGAATGGTGCTCAATTAATACATTTCAATTAAATATTAAATTTTATACATAAATAGTAAAGTTTGTCATAAAAGACAGTAGTAGTGGGTGCTTAAGCACCCATCATGCACAAGGTACGTTTGTCACTGACAATGCATGTATTAGTTATGCTTGCATTAATTATATATTATTTTTTTGCATTGTTTGATTTAACACATTAAAAATAACATTGCATAAAAAAAATTATTTACAAAGATACCCTCTACTATTATGATAGAAAAGATGTAAAAAGAGGTTTTGATGGGCAATTGAGTCTTTGACCATGTTAATACATGCATTAAAATCATTGTGTTGCTAATACATAAAAATCCATTATATTAGCAATATACACCTTAACACACAATAAAGTGTTACTTATACAGAGATTAAAAAAGAGTACCAATAACACTCTACCAAACAACGAGTTCAGTGGATACTTCAATATGACATTAATAATGGAGGGAATACACGCGTTTGATATCCGAAGGATCAAGTCACTTGATCACCGGCTATTTAGATTTGACCCCTTTTTAAGAGTGGATATAATATAAAAAAAAATGCTCGTTTAATTAATTCGGATTCATGGGCCAGAACACGTTTATCTCACATATGCAATTGTCAGCCATGTCTCCCCCTCCAATTTTTTATTTTTTTTTATCCCTCCATAGGAGCTCTCACCCTTTTTGCTCCCTTGGTGACTCGAACTTGCAATCTTCGGGTTGAAAGTGAGGAGTGCTTACCATTCGAGCAACTTCCTCTCGTCCTCCAAATATTTATTACTTTTTTTAAAAAAAAAAATAGCTTAGTTTCACTTAACACAAAATTTAAGAAAATAAAAAAAGATATTTTAATTTTAATCTTGTGGCCGTAAATATATCACATGAAAAATTGAAAATTAAATTGTTGCCAAAAAATGAAAAGATTCATTCTTTGTTTGATACTACCTAAAAAGAAAAGGAAGTTGTTCTTTTTTAAACGAAGCAAGTTTTAATAATTTGTCATGACTAAATAATGAATAATAATAAATATTAGTACTGATAAATTAATATTGGTATTTGGTGATATTAGTGGGTAAGAAGACACATCATGTATTTATTTAGTTGAAATTATAGTAAATAGTATGTGCGTAATTTTTCTTTTAATGGAAAACAATTGCCATGACGTGTTAATTTAAATATTTTCATTGGTGTGTTACACGTTCGAATCTCTTAATTTTGGTCTTTTATGTTGGTTTCACTTGTAAATATATGTTTTCATTGGCCTCTCTAACTTTGTATGATTAGTTAGCTTAATTCGCTCCTCCTTTTTAATCTCTAAAGCCTTTTGCATGCTTAATTCATTTTTGAACTCTAATTATAGTTTGGTGAACTTGAAATTAACGATATAGATTAAAAGGTTGTTCGTCAACTTGAAATTAAGTCACTTATAATAAGTACTATGTCAAGGGGAAAGTTAGAACCTAGCTAGGAATTTTCCTGTCCGTATCTACTTCTTGAAAAACCTAAAGGGTCAAGGTAAGCGTATCAAGAGAAAATGAGCAAAGCTTATGCCCGGCTAATTGAATGGAGTTCTCGGCTTTAAAGAATCAAATTCAAGTACCGAGGAGATTTATTTGAAGAAAATAGGCATGTGGAAACAACATTGCTTGCATTGATTTGAAGTGGCGACGTTTAGTTGATTGCTTTTCTTCAACCTACTCATATTTTATTTAAGTTTCTATATTTTTGTCTTTGATGACCATGATTCACGTGATAATGCAAAGGACAATTATCACTATATAAACAATTAATGTCCAAAAATTTAAAATCATGATTTTGTACCACTAAACGTTTTGAGGTGACTTTTAAGGATAGATTTTTCTAAGATCGAGGTTAATGTATTTGGCTAGAAATAATATGTTGCTGTTGTAGAGGTAAGCTTATCATTATTTACAGATATTATCAAAATCTTGCTTAAAATGTTTAGTTTTGAATTTTATGAAAATTTCAAATACATTTCTGTCCTTTCGGGTTAGGGGTGTGCACTATTCGGAATAAACCGAATAATCAAACCAAATCAAACTGAATTTTTATTTAGATTGGTTTTTTGGTTTTTCGGATTGGTTTTGGATTAATAAATTACTTTGTTTGGATTTTTGGTTTGGTTAAGATTTTAAAAAAAAAAACCAAAAAAACCGAATTATATATATATATATATATAAATGTTTAGGTTTAGAATTAAGTTGGAGTTAACCACTTTTCTCCCTTTTTGGTTATTGCCTTTCCTCATGATTATGTTTATATTTTATATTTGAACATCTATAATAGGTTTACTTATAAGTATTGTGTTTTAAGTTTTACTTATGATTTATATTAGAAAGTATATTTAAGAGATTCAACATTATTACTTTGGTTATGTTATTAATTATTGATATAACCAAATAATCAAGCCGAAAAAAGCCGAACCGAATAAAGGAAAACCAAACGAAACCAAATTTATTTTGAATCGAATTGGATTACACTTTTACAAAACCAAAAATCGAAAAATTTAAACTGAATAGTGCAAAATCGAACCAAAAAAACGAATGCACACCCCTATTTTGGGCTAACCCTGCATGCATATGGTGAGGCAGATATATATGTCCCTCTCTAACGCGATTCGCGATATATATGGTTTAGAGTAAAATAATTATTTCTTAATTATTTATATTTGCATTCATGATATGTTCTTCATTGGACAATTTTGATAATTGATTATGACATTATTCAGAAATTTGCTGATACGGCACGGACTATATTAAATTGTCACTTGCCACAACAGTCCATCTAAAAATAGACTAAAGTATGCAAGTGACTGCATTATTTCCAATCAGATCAATAAACAGTGCCATCTTGATTGTCCAAATATTTCCATTATTCAATTTATTTATTTATTTTTGTGTGTGGGGGTAGGGTGTGCATCAGTCAATTTAATTTTATATTTTATGTATTATTGGTTTTCAATTTATAAATACACTACATCAATAAGATATTTTTTATCGGTTTTTGATCCTTAATGTTTCGATTTCTATTTAACCAATAAGAAAATGCACATAAAATAATCATATTACTTCTCCAACAATTTGGCGCGACTATACAAAAGTGCAACACAAATAAAAGAACTAGGACAATAATGTGAATTGAAAGCTAAAAGACAAAAGTAGTAACCATAAGGTATTGATATTACTATTTATGTATGAGTAGAGTAATATAAATTACTATTGTCTATTTGTCTTAATGGGTTATCGATTTACTCAATAATTCAATATTGAAAAAATCAAAGATTGAACCAATAACCAAATAATTTTTTTAATAAAATCATTAAAAACTCATTAACCCAATAACACTTCTATCGGTATGATTCAATTTTTGCACAGCGGGGGTCATTTTATATCTCTGCTATTTATATATCTAAACTTCAGGAAGTTTCTGAAGGACTCAAAAGGAAAACAAATGGATCTTAAGCTTGGTTTTTGTATTCTCTCCCTAATTCTGCTGGTAAATTTCACTCTACTTTCGTCAGTCTTAATAGTATTACAGTATTATTAATGGTTTGTTCAATATTGGTACAATTTATACAAAGTTTTGATTTATATGTATGATGTTGGCAGGTTGCTTATGGGACAGAAGGTAGGAAAATGGTTCAAGGGAACCTACAGGGCAAAAGATTGAACTTCCCAATTCCAGATGATGATGTCCAAAAGACTAATGTCTATTTTTGGATTTATGATAACCAAGGAGAAAATGGTTATCACAAAACAGTAGAGGACGTCCAAGTTCATCCATCATCAAATAACAAGAATCTTGAAAATAAGGATGACACTTATTTCTGGATATACAATAACCAAGGTGGAAATTCTCAGCAGGGCAATCACAAAATCAAGAAAGAGAATGCCGGAGTTCAATTATCATCAAACAACATTGATCATGAAAACAAGGTTGATAATCACAATTGGATATACAATAACCAAGGAGAAAATAAGCATCATCAAGCAAAAACGGAGAAGGAACATATCCATTCATCATCCCATATGGATCATATAGATCCTTCTCTGAGAGTTTTCTTCCTTATAGATGATCTAAAGATAGGGAAAACAATAACTGTCTCCTTCCCAAGAAGGGATCTTTCTTCTTCTCCGAGTTTCTTGCCCAAAGAAGAAGCTGATTCCATTCCATTTACTCAAAAGGAACTCCCAAACATCCTTCAACGTTTCTCATTCTCTCGAAACTCTCCACAGGGGAAAGCCATGGAAGACACACTGAGAGAATGTGAGGCTCCACATATAAAGGGAGAGACAAAGTACTGTGCCACATCCGCGGAGGCAATGCTTGATTTTGTTCAAGGAATCATGGGAGAAAAAATCCAATTCAAAGCTCTGTCCACAACTCATTTCTCAAACTCAACTCCCCCACTTCAAGAGTATACTATTTTGGATGCTCCACAAGAAGTAGAAACTCCTAAGATGGTGGCATGTCATACCATGCCTTACGCTTACGCGATTTTCTACTGTCATTACACAATTAGCAAGAGCAAAGTGTTTAAGGTTTCATTAGGGGGTGAAAATGGTGATAGAGTGGAAGCAATTGCTGTTTGTCATTTGGATACCTCTGAGTGGAGTCCATCTCATGCATCTTTCCAATTGCTTGGTATATTACCAGGAACATACCCTATCTGTCACTTTTTTCCATCAGATAATCTAGTATGGGTTCCAAAAATCGCCACTGCACAAGTGATTTGAAAGAGCAGTCTCTCCATGTAGATAGCAGCTCTTGTTGGCTTGTGTTTTACTACTACCTGTTATTACATGTATGTTTACTAGTAATATTTTCATGTATCTTTTCTGTACTGTTTCAGTGTACCTCTTGTTTACCTTCCTTTCCTGTGGAGAGATCCAAATTAAATAAAACAGTACGATTTTCTGCTAATGGAACTTCCACAGTTGATTAAAATTTGGAGTTCACACGAAAACGATTGCAACTCAAAAGTGCTGCTTAGAAATATTAAAGAACCTGTTACTAAATGCAAGAAGAAAGCATTGTACTAATTGACATCAGTATGTCAAGATACGACAATGGATATAGCTTATTTTATGATTCGATTCCAATTCAAAGTAAAATTACAGGATGTAATATATTGCTAATGAATAATAATGATGGTGAACGACCAACACGCAGATAGTAGCATTCAATTAAAGAAAGGGAAATTATAATTATGCATTGCAATGCGTCCAAAATTTAAGTTACATGTGGATTATTGGATTCAAATCCAGAAGCAATGACCTATATAACATGATTTACCAGATAACCTTCTATTAACAGGAAGAACAAAGCTATAACGGAGAGAGAATAATCATAAAAGAACTCAAATAAGAATTTTAACAAGCTTCAATACTTTTCTACAATGGTTCTTGTTTTCTCAATAGTCTCTCTCTACAAGGGAGACACAAAGCATTGTGCCACATCCTCACAGGCAATGCATGATTTTGTGCAAGAAATCATGAGGAGAAAAACTCCAAATCAAAGCTCTGTCCACAACTCATGTTTCACACTCAACTCCCCTGCTAGAAAAAGTATACTCAAGGTTTCATTAGGTGGTGAAAATGGTGAAAGAGTGAGAGCAGTTGCAGTTTGTCATTTGGAAATCTCTGAAAGGATTTCATCTCCTGTAACTTTCTGAGTGCTCGGTATATTGCCAGGAACATCCCCTATCTGTCACTTTATTCCATTGGATAATCTAGTGAGGGTTCCAAAAATAACCACTGCACAAGTGCTTTGAAGGAAGAGTCTCTCCATGTTGGCAGTAGCTTTTACTTCACTAGTGCCTTATCTGTTAATACATTTATGTATCTTTTCCTTTTTTTTCTAGCTGGTGTTAATAAAACAATAACGTGGTTTGTTGTCATAAAGTTTAGAGAGTTTTTACAGAACACAGATTGCAAACTTAAAAAGTGTGGATTGAAAATATAAACATACCTCTTTCAACTGCTGCAAAACATCAGCACGAGTTGAACCAGCAGCGAGCAATGGACATCAGCACTGCCTTCACTTCTTTTTCGATCTCGGTTAGGGACAAAACAAACTGATGTCGGCTTATCAAATAAGTATTAATAAGTTTATGGGCATTCTGAAAAGCATCTTTTAAAATTGTAGGTGTATGCAAATCGTCAGCAAGGTTTGTTTCCAACTCATTATGCAGCCTGTTGATGCATTCTGGGGCCTTATTGTAGGTGTATGCAAATCATCAGCAAGGTTTGTTTCCAACTCATTATGCAGCCTGTTGATGCATTCTGGGGCCTTAATCTAACAACAGGTGCAGCCACCCCACTTAGTACTGTTGATGATGGCAAGGCTCAAGGCTCGTTCACAATCATGTAAGGTCTGATAAATGTAGAACACAGATTCTGAAGCATATTCTATCTGTGATACTAAGTAATTAACAGGAGAGCGATAGTGAGCCCCCAACAAGAAGTACCTTAATGCAAGGGGATGGTACAATCGAGTAACCTCACGTATAGTGAAAAAGTTCCCTAAACATTTTGATATCTTCTCACCATCTTTGTTAACAAAACCATTATGCATCCAGTAGCTAACATTACTCTCCGGCAAGCAGCGCAATTCTGGGCAATCTCATCCTCATGAAGAGGAAAAATCAAGTCAATTCTACCACCATGTACATCAAAGGAATGTGTTAGATAGTGTGGCGCTCATTGGACTGCATTCAATATGCCAGCCCGGTCTTCCAGGACCCCAGGGACTATCACAGCTTGGTTCACCAGCCTTACAAAAGGCAAAATCAGTCGGTTTGTCTTTGTTCTAACCAAACAATACATAAAAATAATCTATACATAATTAATGCAAACATAACCAATACATGCATTGCTAATGCAAACATTATTAATACACTCTATTTAGAGTTATTTTTATACACTCTACCAAATGACCCCTAAGATATTCCTGGCTAAATAGACCACAACAGGATATGATCTTTTCCATTCTCTTTAGCCCAACCAATTACATTATCACCAATATCAGTGAAATTGCGGACTTAAACAACATCATATTGTAATTACTTCAGGTATCTGTAGAGAATGTCAAAGGCGACATAGGCACGGGCCGGGCATGGCCCATATGACTGAAATCTTACGGTGTAACACCGCAAACATGCATCTTCACCTTCCCTGGATCCGTCGACTGAAAAAGTTCCCCATACTTCGTTATTGTATTGTACAACCGGAATTCCACCTCCTCTGCCATTCCGATCGCCGGCAAATTGTTGCCTGATCGATTTGCTGCTAAGTATGTATTATATGGAGTGGGCGGGAAAAACCCTAATGCTGTAGCAATGCTTTTGGAAATTAGAACTATGAACGAGTAAAGACTATTTTTTTAATTTATATTTATTGCTATTAATTTCCAAATTTCATAGTGAAATATGGGTGGACATTCCATTCTTCTATTCAAACTAGATAGACTTGGCCCGTGCTAATCAGAGGATCATTGCATTTCCAGTCGTCGGTAGAAAACTCCAATTTTAAGTTCATTGAGAAAATCATGAAACATCTTCATTCCTTAATTAGACGTATGATGGTACATCAACAAAGAAGCTCCGTGATATAAAGCATGATCATTTCTGTGAATCATAGTGAGAAGTATGATGGAATTTCAAAGATATGAATACTAAAAGTGCAAATATGCATTGCAGTGTAAAATCATTTCTCTATAGGTTCAATAATTTTCAACAATACATATTAAGTAACAATTTCTCTCTTTGCAATACCTCCTCTTAATAAAATCGCTTAAACAAAATATTAAACATACCAACTTTTTAAATTTTCACATGGGACCAATACTATGACTAAACACTAATAAAAATAGTTATCCAAAAGCTCTCTGAGAGAATTAAACTCCTAGCAACAAAGGATAGGTGATACAGTCTCTTTTTCAAAACTGTTGAGACCAAACACTAACAAAAAAAAGTTCACGAAAAGCTCTCCAAGAGAATTGAGCTCCAAGAAGAGAACTCACCACACCAAAAGCACCTTGATTTAAGTACTTTTTTCATTGGTTTAAGTGCTGCCAAAATGAACTTGAAATTCATATCCACGCTATTTTAATACCTGCAAATAGCCGTTAAGTAATCCATATCAACATCTCTCCCGAGAATTAAAATCGAATACATTGTGTCAAAGCTAAATCCTTCTATTTTGAATAGAAATTAATAAGCGAAAAAAATCATATATGCAAATCTGTATCTACCGCATACTAAATAGTCACCATGAAGAACATTACCTTCATTCAAACATAGTAGCATAATCCCCTTTTCTTGTCTGTAATTAAAAATTCTACTACCCCAATCAAGTAATCTTTTCTTGGAATCATATTTCAGCTCTTCACTCAACCTTGATGGCCTATAAGAAAAAAGGTAAATAGTGTTACCTTCTTTACTCAACAAGATGCTCTAGCTCTTCATCATCAAATTTGTTCTTTTGTTGCCCTTCTAGTTTTAGAAGATCCTCACTTATGTTGTATGGTTCAAATGAATTACCTCTTCGCTCATCTTGGCAACAATTTTACCCTATGGCAGATATACAAACCATAAGCTTCATTCCATACAAAATTTCATAAATAGACTATTCCCAACCGTCAGCACTTGCATTGAAACACAGATCTTAGAGAAACAACTTTAAGAAAAACAAATATCACATTCAGAGTTCACCGTTGGAGATTTTGGCACTTTTCACAACAGCCTAGATGAAAAGGAATGAAACACTTCCTTGCCATTGGAAGAAAAAGCGTAACTTCCTTTCCTTTGAAGGAAAAGGGACACGTGTTACAATATATAATTCACCGTGTACAACTGTCAAGACTCAAGAATTGATAAAGTTAATAATACTTTGACAATATAACACAGGTGCAACAACATTTTGGAGGATCCAAGCAACATAAGTTAGATCGTGGATATGACACAATCAAAACCATACATTTCAAAATTACCTTCATTAGTTTATGGATTCAGGTTCTTGGTGCTTTACTTTTTTTTTTTAAATGATACGAGACTTCATGCCAAGTTGACAACTATTTATTGGGGGAAAGGGAACAATAGCATAAATAACTATTCAGATACAATTATGCAATGAATGGTTTCCTGACAATTGAGATCTGGAAGGAGGAATAGCCCTCTTTGGAACAAAATGGATTTATTAACATCGGCATAGTTAGCAATGGAGTAATAGTAATTAGTTTGTAGACATAACATCTTATATGAGTTCAAGATAAAGTACAATCAGATTATGAACTTGCAATACTTGAGAAACAAAAATCCCTTCATAGTTATGGAATGCCAACCCGGCCTCTTTCATTTAACCGAAGGCTATCTACAAGAATGTAATACTTTGGAGAGAACCAACAACACAAAAATTTGGTTCTATGTCAGCCCTTTGTTTAGGGGAATTGGGACTAAAGAATGGGGGGACAACAAACATCCATCTCCAAATTCGATAAATATAGCTTGATCATATACCTCATTACAACTATATGATTCAGAGCTATTCAGAGTATCATTCATATTTGATCCCTTTGACTTTCATATTCGAGTTGGTACTCTACATATTAGATGCAAAGTTCCCTCTATAACATTTTGGAACAGTCATTTGAGTATCAAAAAATAATTTTTCAATCCTATGTGCATTTGGTGAGTTTTTGATTGCTTAATCAATCTGTGGAATGAGAGAGTATAATTCCACTCTTAAATCCTCCAATTTTCATTCAAACCTTAAATTAAAAATCTAAAACTTCTAAACAAACAAACAAATAAAAACAACAACATAGCCTTAGAGTATAGAGTCACGACAACACACCATCAAAAGAAAAATATAAGACTTTGAAAAAGTGAGAAACGCCACAGACAAAAAATTCAAAGTGATAAAATATTGAGACGGTAAACCTTAGAAAAGGATCCGCAATTCTCCTCGGACTAAAGAAAAGAGGCCTTCATTGGAAGGATCCACAATTCTCCTCTGCCACGAAACTACGCAACTATACCTGGACACCAATATCAGAAAAGAGAAAATACATAAGCATATAATAAGCTAAAATCAAGGATCTAAAGAATCAAAATTGTATCATATTGCTCTTCACCAAACATGGATAACTTTCATAAATATTTGGGGCTTATGCTTTATCAGCTCTCTTCCTCTTATATGTCGTGTATTTCAAATTGGGATTTTCAACAGTATAGTTAATTTAACTCGTAACCCATAAGCTTTGAACCGTTAGGAGAAGAAGAGATTTGAGGGAGATGATCCATCATTTTGGCTCTAAGGCCTTAGCAATTGTTAATAATAATAATCTGGAAGTAGAGGAAAAAGATCTAGAACAATCTGGAATGGAAAGGTGTGGTTTGCTGAAATATCAAGCATGCTAATTACTATTTTACCTTGCATGATAACATAATTATGAAATTGTCCTTGATCGTCCTACCTTTCATGTTTCTATATAATAGAAATTTATCAAATTTTGATTGATTTTTTCAATTTTTGGTTATGAAAAGTATGCATCGAATTAATTTATTTTGGTCAATTTTTTTAACTTTGATTTGCCTCGGTATTTTTTGAAGGAAAAATTACGCGGTTAAGCAAACTTATACTACTTAATTACTCATCATAGCTATAATTTGCTATAATTATCACTCACGACTAACATTATATATAAATTACGCAGGCTGACTTCGAGTTTGAATAATTTGCCACGTTTGTATATGTATAATTCGCCAGAATATACAAATACATATGTATAATATACAATTATCTAACCTATATACATATACAATTCACCTTTCTCCCACTCTTTGCCCCTTCTCTCTCGCCTCTCTCCTCCATATAACATGTAGCTATGAATTGTAATTATCAAACTATAGCTATGGAAAGTAATTAGGCTATTTTTGTATGGCTATATGTGAAAGTTCCCCTTTTTTAAATCGTTCTTTTGATGCGAATAAAAAATAAAATAATTAAGGACAAAATCAAAGTATAAGATATGTTTCAGTGAACATTTATTGCGCTTAAAAATTATACTCTTTCTGTTCCTTTTTATATGTCATCACTTTCTATAAATAATTGGTTGTAATACTTGTCATTTCATAAAATCAATGCATAAATTACTATGTTCTTCCTAATATTTCCTTGACATAGTAGTTAATTAGTCTTGAATATATATATATATTGACCAACTTAGGAAAACTGATAAGTGATTAATATTCATTAGAGTATTTCATACATTGATTAATGAGCAACTTTCACATATAGCAAACACAAAATTCATATTTGTATACTAAAACAAAGTTTGCATAATTGCGCTCCATAGCAAACATATATATGTATAATTCGCTATACATATACAAAAAAAACAGTTGTATAATTCGCTATACATATACAAAGAAGACAATTATATAATTCGCTATACATATACAAAAGAAACAGTTGTATACAAAAGATCAATTGTATAATTTGTGTATGTATAAAACGAGAAAGAGAGAAAGGCAAAAGAAAACTGGGCAGGAAAATATTTGTATTGTATAATTATAAGTGTATAGGACGAATATATATGTATTTGCATGTGTATATACAATTTTCTCTCGCTTTATACAAATAGAAGCATTTGTATACAAAAGATCAATTGTATAATGTGTATATGTATAAAACGAGAAAGAGAGAAAGACAAAAGAAAACTGGGCAGGGAAATATTTATATTGTATAATTATAAGTGTATATGACGAATATATACGTATTTGCATGTGTGTATACAATTTTCTCTCACTTTATACAAACAGAAGCGCAATTTATACATTTCGTTTCTGTTTGTATAAGCGAGAGAGGCGAGGGTGGCGAGCGAGATTTGAGAGAGTGGCGAGCGAGATCTGGGAGAGGGGAGAGAGGGGAATAGAAAATATATGTATATATACAATTTCCTCTCGCTTTATACAAACACAAACGCATTTTATACATTTGTGTTTGTATAAAAGCAAGAGAGGCGAGCGAGACTGCCACAAACGAGAGTGGCGAGCGAGATTCCACCAGGGAGAGTGGCGAAAAATAGCAATAGTTTGCTATAGGGTACAATTAAATCAAAAGTATAATTTATAGCATTTAATTTGAATTAATAGTTTGCTATTATATATAATTTTTCCCTTGATTAATTACTCTCTCCATTCACCGTTCTATTAAATCTTATTTTGAAAAAGAAATCTCAACAAACAAAGTAAAAATAAAAGACGGAGAAAAAATAAAAAATAATCTTGAAAGTTGAAGATTTAACAATTTTTATTTTTTTTAGATCAATCAGTGAAAAAATGGCTCCAAAAATAAATTCAAAAGTTTAAATAGTCATTCAAATGCATTTTTAATTTTGAAATTATCATTTATTGAAAAGTTGACTTAAGAAAATATTAAATAAGGATAGAATGATAAGTTACTTAAATTCTCAATGTAAGTGCAATTTAAAAAGTTGACATATAAAAAGGAACGGATGAAGTATTTATCTTTGTCAAGAACATTTTACCTTTAAGGAAAACAAAGACAAAAATGAATTCCTTTAACTGACGCACATATTTTTTTTTTAAAAAGGTCTTAGTTATGTGAATCAAACATATTTTACTAATAATATTATATATAGAATAATAATTTTTTCTTGATTTTATAAAGGGATAAGGGTCTGAAAAATACCTCAACTTTGGTCGAATTTACTGTTGCGATACTAAACTTTCATGAGGACCTATTACCTCCCTAGACTATTTAATACCGTATTTTAAACATATATATTTGCCCACGTGGACATAAAAATAATGCAAAATTATAAATAGTAATGTGTCCACGTGGGCATATATATACCTTTAAAATACACTATTAAATAGTTTAGTGGGTAAAAATACGGTATTAAATAGTCTAGGGAGGTAATAGGTCCTCTCATAAAAGTTAAGTATCGCAACAGCAAATCCGACCAAAGTTGAGATATTTTTCAGACCATTATCCCTTTTATAAATGGAACAAATAACTCCAATTCTTTAAGTTATGTTTTACGATCAAATGAATTATAAGTTACATTTAAGAAAAATACTACTCTTGTGTCATTTACTTTTATCTGTTTAATTTCTAAACACATTTTAAAAATAAGTTATTTTATGAACGATAATTGAAAATGCAGCTACTAAAATAGGGAGCGTGATCTAAAATTAAAAAGTCAATCTGGTGTTCCTAAAGTTTGTTTATGAATTTATTCTATTATTTATTCTATTATAAGTTGGATTGATTCTTCTTGTTATTTTTTAATTTAAAGATTAGCCGGGTTAAAGCCAATAAGAAGTCAACAATATATTTTAATCAAATTTATGTCTGGAACTGTTAGGGTACACATTGTTCCAGATTCAACTTATATTTATTTTTATTTTCGAAAATTGTTTGAATATAAATTGTCATAATTTTTTGGATTGTGAAAACTTCCGAAAAATTGTTTTTATAATTTTTGCTTTAAATCATTCACAAAAATTCAAAAACAATATTAATTTATATTTATGTTCAAACATAATTTCAATTTTCAAATATCATTTATCATGAAAACAAATACACTTTTCTCCAAATTTCATATTTTTTACGCCCACTTAGTCATGCAAATAATATATGCAATGACAGTGAAAAAATTACATAATTTCCGAAATAATTTCTAGACATTATCGTGTAGTAGATGATTAGAGTTATGCATGTATTAGTAATATTGTTATTAGTTATGAGCAAATTTATGTACTATTTTATGTGAATAAAAATATTAGTTATGCACAATTTAATTGATATATATTATCCCTCTTCTATCCAACATAAAGTGATATATAAATTCCTCTGTGATTTACACATAATTAGTTATGCGGGTTTTTAAATAGCAAATCAAACACCGTATTAATTTTATATAAAAAAAAAACTTACTTCCCAACATCTACTAAACATTATCTATTACTTATATAGAATTTAATATATGCACAACTCATCTCCAAATCAGCTACCAACTGATAAAAAGGAACTACTTAGGCATAGTTACAAATAGCAACTAAACAACATCTAATTAATTAACAAGAAGCTTAATACTGTAATTAACTAGGTAATTAAGAAACACACAATTTTTAAAAAAAGGCATATAATATAATCAAGCATAATTAATTTCAGGGATCTACAGTTATTCTCCTTTGAGCTTCTTCTTCCTTTGTTTCTGAAAAATGATCATCCTAAGGAGTAGGCCTGGATCTTTTTGGATATATATCAACATCATTATGATAAATAATAATATTAGCCTTCAAATCAAAATTTCTAACAAATTTGTTCCTTTCTATTGGAAAATCTTGATATTGATCATTAAGAAGGTCCTTGAGTGCTTTAGGCATTGGATCTCCATTCATTTTGCTCTTCCAATATTCTTCTGGACCATCACTAATTACATATCCCAACTGAAAAAAATAATAATTAAACCAAATATAGGAAGACATAAAATTAAGTGAAATTAAATCTGCAAATTATTACTCTATCTGTCCTAGTTTATACGGTACAATTTGAATTTCGAGAGTCAAATAATTTAATTTTAATCATGAATTTTGGTATGAAATCTTTAAATTTTTGAAATAAAAATAATATATTTAAAAAGTACATAAAAAGTAATTATTTGAATCTCAAAATTCAAAAAGAGACGAATGGAATATTAGAGAAGAGGAAGTAGAAGAAGAATTACCAAAGAAAGAGATAGGAGAAGGAAGAAAATAGAGAGAGATTTCATATTGTTGAAACACTCTTTGAGTTTGTAAAATTTGTAGACTTTCTAATGTCTGACTTACTATTTATAGACTCTCCACAATGACCAAATAAAATATGTTTTTACACATATTTAAAATCAGGAAAAGAAAAAAAGAAATTAAAAGAATATGATGTATAGTTCTTCTGATTTCTTAAGCGGTCAGTTTCTCTTTAAAATTAAGAAATAAATAAAATGGGATGAGAATAGAAATGTATTAAAATATATTAAATATCTATAAATTTTACTAGAAATCAAAGTCAATCAATGTAAATTTGTGCTATCAAACATGATTTTTTCATTTATTTTCTGTTAAGCTGACTTGGAAAAACGCAAAGTGAGAAACAAATTCTCACGAGAAACTTCCTAATTTTTTTCTGAAAACATTAATACCTTTTTTACTTTTCTCTCACTGATTCAATCAAAATATTTGTGAGAATTCCACTAAACAAATTTTAATAGAAAGATCAGTGAAAAATTATTATTTTTTAATAGTGAGTTATATTTAAATTTAATTATCATAGATGTTAACTTGAACCCCAATTCATCGATCGCATCTGACCATTACATAATCGA